CCCCCCGGGGCAGCCCTTCCCCCCGGACACCTGCCTGCAGGTCGCAGCGAGCTGTGAACTAACTAGTCCTCGCAACTAACCACAAACACTAGTGCCTACGTGCAGCGCTGCTCGCCCTTCCTGCTGCCCGTGCTCGGCGGCGCGGCCGCGCTTGCTGCCGCGTTTGGCACCATCTCGGCCTAAACAGGGTTTGTCCAGGGGCCTCTGGGATTTACCGTGCGCTGGAAAACTTTCCTGCTTGGATGGCTGAGGTGGTGAAGGGCTTGTGAGTCTCTTGAGAGCACCTTGGGTGTCAAATTTAGACTTCACCCCCTATGATATCCTTCAGTGACACCTCTGAGGGAGCATCCGACGTGCTGTGGTCATCCCAGGGCTCAGCTGGCGGCAGACGAGAGCTGGGATCCATCCAGGCTGTTCCCAGCTTACCTGCTGGCAAGGGCTCTGCCCCAACAGCCTCTCCCGCTGTCACGCAACACGGCAAATTGTTGGTGTTTCCGGCAGTTAGGCAGGTATCTGTGGGATATTTGCACGAGCAGGTGGCAATGAGGAATACCTGAGCTTGCTTTCTCAGTGAGCTTTTATGAATCCTTTAGAAGTAGTCCGTGATCCCACAGGAAATTACAGAGCAGAGCTTAAAAACCACCTCACTACGAACAAACAAACAATCAAAATTTCCTAAACCTACAGGGCAAAACACACAGGCTTGTCCTTGCAATCAACGTTACAGGCAAAGGAAAATCTCTCTCTTCTGCTGCACGGGGTCTTTGCTTTCATTAAGCAGGGCAGTGTTGGCTTTCTGCTGTAATTCTTGTTGTTTGGGCTCAAAAGTTGTGGAAATTACCATCCCAGGAGCAAGAGAGTCCCTCTAGAGCAGTCGCATGGCCTCCAAAGAGCTGTGTGAGGAAGCAAGTGCAGGGAACAGCTCCACACGGCCCTGCTGGAGATGACGGAGTGTGCCTTCATGCTTTGGTGCAGTGAAGAAGAGGAGACATGGGAGAGTTTCCTGTTGCACTGGGGTTAAAATACTACGTAGAGGCTGGGCAGGAGCAGCCACAGCAGAGGAGGCTGCGCAGATGTTCCTGGCCGACGGTGATGCTGGGGGGGCGTCCATGTCAAGGCAGCTGGGGGGCGCAAGCGG